GCTTCAACGAGATTGGATAGCGGAAGCAGATGGCAGTCGGACGCGCAAAACAAAGACCCACTGGCTGACCGGGCGCTCGCATGTGGTTTCGGTGAAGAGCCCCCGGGCTTTGCCTAGTTTCGGTCAGCTTGGGTCAGTCGAGGTGAGAGACTGGGGCTGGTGGCTTGCACGAGCCACCCGTAGTTGGCGGGACCACCCAGCCCTCGCCGGCTTAGGTAACCAGGACACACCATCAGAAAGGCCGGGGGAAAAAAGGGCATGAGCACAGACCACAAGAAAGACTGGATTGGTCGTCCCTTCCCGCCCAGAAAAAAACCTGCAAAATCCTTAGGGCTGCCCTGCCCTCCGCCCCGCTTAGCATTTTTCCGGAGGTTGCCGGCGTGCAGAGACACCCTCACAAATTTCGTGCGTCTTGCGACTTGTCGAAAAAGAATCCCCATCCGCGATACCAGCAAGACGACCACCGATCAAACACCGTCGCCATGCCTACCCGATTCTCCCGCACCCGCAAGCAGTACGTTGATTCAATCCCGTCTCGGTCACAAACGAAATGAGTTTCTTCTCCCGCGAATGTCGTCGGCGCCGTCGCTATTGGGATGCTTTGGATGGAGGGGGAAGGTCGGGGAGGGCAGCAGGAGGAGGGCGTGATGAGTGCCGGTGGAAGGCCTTTTGGAGCTCTGCTGCGCCCTTCTTAGAGGAGGATGAGGACGGCCGACAAAGCATCGCGACGCGGGAGAAGCGAGACTCTCGAATTGATCACGAAGCTGACATGTTTTCGCAGCCGCGGTCACGTTTCCGCCGGTCACGGACGTATCGGCAAGCACCGCAAGCACCCAGGTGGTCGTGGTCTGGCCGGTGGTCAGCACCACCACCGCACTAACCTCGACAAGTACCACCCTGGTATGTTATTTCTCCTGTCGAAAGGGACCAAGTTTGAACAAGTTTTGCTGACATGGCGCAGGTTACTTCGGTAAGGTTGGTATGAGATACTTCCACAAGCAGCAGGCGTACGTACACCCCGAATCCGAACGACGTGAAGCTTCCGGCTGTGCTCTGCAACCCACGACAATTTCGACATGACGACATACTTAGACAACGTCCATGACGCGCTCCACATCCCTAAGCGGGACTGCGAAGGACTGTGGCACATCGATACAACAACAGTCTTACCACGACAAGATTTTCATCACGAACGGGACGCAGAGCACACCGGGACGCTAATCATCGGAGGATCCCCCATCCGTCGCGTCAGGCACTAACCCCCGTCTGCAGGCACTTCTGGAAGCCCGTCATCAACCTGGACAAGCTCTGGACCCTCGTCCCCGCTGAGAAGCGCGAGGAGTACATTGCCGGCAAGAAGGACACCGTCCCCGTCATCGACCTCCTCCCCTTCGGCTACTCCAAGGTCCTCGGCAAGGGCCGCCTTCCTGAGGTCCCCATCGTCGTGAAGGCCAGGTGGGTCAGCAAGCTGGTACGTCGCCCTCCTCCCGCCTCTTGTGTGCGAGAGTCGTGCGAAACTAACTCTATCCCACAGGCGGAGAAGAAGATCACCGAGGCTGGCGGTGTTGTCGAGCTGGTGGCATAAGTTCGGAAACTACTCCACGGGGAAAAAATCCAAACACACTTGACGGATTGGGAATGACGGCCATGCAGCCTCGGAGCGGGCGGCGGACCGCTTTTTTGTCACACAACTTGCGCTTGGCGGGACATGGGAAAGGGCCTAGGGACGGCTTTTCGCATTGCATGAAGATCTGAACTTCCAAGGAGTTAAACCGAATAAAAAAAGGCTCTTGATCTCACATCGTCATGGCGGGCGCCATCATCGCCCCGCGTCAACATAGATGACGACGCCGGGCCGTGTGTCTTCCTGGCAGTCTTTGGGCGGCGTCTGGGTCAAGTCGGACGGACGGGTACGATTGAATGGTATTACTTTACGCCGCCTTCCACTTGCGTGCCGTGCTTGTGCTGTTGTACATGTGACGTCTTGGTCATCTCGCCTGCCTGCGATGCTGTTCCATAACGTCGATTCCGGGAAAATACCGTCCTAGGTAACGGCACTTCAATGCGCCCTGCCTCAAAACGCCACCTGCTCTGCCGTCTAGTCGTACAAACATACATGATCATGTTCACGCCACCAGTATAAGAGTCCCTTGCCAAAGAAAAAAAAAACATTATCATTACGCCTCAAGCATGTCCATCTCGTCGTCCTCGATTTCTATCGTCTCCACGGATTGTTTTGGCTCAGGTTCCCGTAGGAACTCATGTTCCAACGCCTCCTGGGCGCTGATTCTCCTCGCGGGGTCCAACTCCAAGCATCGGCCCAGGAACTCGACAGCCAGCTTCTCCTCGTCATCCAAGGGGATGCCCGGCTGACCGTCCTTGCCACCGTCAGTACGGCATGTGGACCACAAGATAATCTTCTCGAGCGAGAAGCCCGCGGTGCCCACTGTGGGGATGTTTGTTTCAAACATGGCGCCGTGCAAGAGACCCGCCTGCTTCATACGCTTGGTGCCAAAAATGGTGGCAATCTCAATCATGGCTTCGACGTCGTCGGCGCTGTTGAAAAAGGGAAAGCGCTTGCTCATAATGGTCAGGAGGATGACGCCTGCTGACCAAATGTCGATCTTGGTGGTCTGCTCGGTGCACTTAAACAGCACTTCGGGGGCACGGAAGCCTCTTGTGCCGGCACGGTTGGCTCGCCGTGACGGGCGGCTGTCTGCCTTGGGGTAGCCTTGCTGGGGACCGTTTTGTGATGCTGCGCTGTTTTGAATCCTCTGCTTGCGGACGTCTCTGCTCTCGTGGCACAGGCATGGCTTGCTATCCGATCCCTCGCGCTCGGCAAGACCAAAGTCGACCAATACACCACGCCGCGTCTGGGGGTCGTACAGGAAATTGGTGGGCTTGATGTCGCGATGCAATATCTTGTGCTCGTGGACGGCCTTTAGCGCGGTAAACAGGCTGCGCAGGTAGATGGCCATGTCGGAGATCTTCATCTGGCGGAAATAGTCGCGGAAGTCCTCATGACGGAAGTAGGGCAGAATGGCAACGACTTGGTCGGTGCTGCGGAACGCCGTGATCAGTGGACAGACTGCAGGGCAGTTTCTGAGATCGTGGAGCAATTCGAGCTCATTCAGGATACGGGTGGGACTGGAGGTGACGTAGATTTTCTTGATGGCGACATATCGGGCGCGACGACGGGGCTCTCGCGAGGGATTGTGGCTGCCGTTACGCTGCTTCAACGGCGGGGTGCTCCATTTTTGGTCTCGTTCGTTGTTCTCGATATCCCAATCATTGTCGTATCTGTCGTATTGAATGTCTTCGGCTTTGTAGACGGTTGAAAAGGTACCTGGGCGAGTGTCGGTCAGCAGAAGCTCAAGAGAGCGGGGAAGGGACGGTGGGAGGGAAAAGTACCTTCGCCAATTCTCTTAATAAGACGATACCTATGCCGAAAACCAGGGAAGACGTCTTGCAGACGCACCATCTCGCGCTGGACGCTGGAGTCGACGACATCGTCCTCGTCGGAGCTGTCGTCGGTGGATTCGTTGTCGTTCTCGGCATCGTCGGCGTCGTCCTCGTCCTCGTCGACCTCGGTCTGATGCTCAGAGCCGGCCACCATCTCGGTGTCTTCTGTACGGGCGTGGGGGGGATCCTCGTGGATCTCGAAGCGCTCGCGGCTCCTTTTCCTGGTGGCAGTAGCCATGGTTCTGGAATCTGGTTCTCGTGTGGTGTCCTCGTTGGCGGTCACCGGACGATGGGCCAATTGGAGCTGGGCCTGGGGCTGGTCGGTCGCGGCGTTGTTGGCGTTGTTGGCGGTGGCATGGAAGGGTGAGTAGGCCTTCAAGACACTGTCTGGGGTAGCCCAGTGCTCGACGTTGAGAGCTTGGCCAAAACGAGTCAATTGGTCGATGGCGTCCAGATTGGGTTGATTGAAGCCAGCTGAGGAATCCCGCTGGGTCGAACACTGCGTCATCCGAGGCGGGAGATGGGGGGGGTTTGTAGAGAGTCCAGTGTTTTTTTTGTATACAAGGGATCTGGCGCAGTGCGTGCCGGTGTTGATGCGGCTGGCCGTGGCGCTTGCTTGGACTGGCTGGCTGGGCTGGGACTGGCTAGGACTGGCTGGCCGTCTGTCTGGCTGGCTGGCTGGGTCTGGCGCCGCTGCGTATTGTATGTACGTATTGCGTAGAGCAGGTAGGTCGGTAGATTGAGTCTTGGTCGATTGGGTTCGCTAGATCATCTCAGTCCGTGGGCAGTTGGTGTTGGGTGTCACGGTGTCGCTGCCAGTCGTGCTGATTGGTGTCTCGGTCGTGTTTCTTTCCTTTTTCTCCTGATGCAGCTCTTCTCTGTCTCCTTCTGGCTCCGAGAATCTTTCTGATGGCGGGCATCCAGCTGCTTTCTAGTGGAGGGGCACCCGCCTGGCCCCGTCCACCCCGGCCAACCGTCGGCCACGATTTCAGGGTACCGGCTCCACTGACAGCACGCGATGACCAATGAAGGACGCGAGTATGACCCCGCACCGCCATTTTGGGACGAAAGAGGAGGGAAACTGCGACCGGCGCGTCGAAAGAAAACAAAAACAAAAATCCCCCTCGGTTGCTAGGCGCATTTGGGTCCTTTTTGGGGGGCTGCTACCTCACAGAGGGGGGGATTCCTGCCATCACTGTGCACCGTTTTATGTCTGTGTATGTACATAGCGCCGGCCTGCACCTGCACCTGCACCACCAAAACAATCCCACCACAACTTTTCGACATCGTCAACACCACAAGCCGATTCCTCCGCCGGCTGGCGCATGCCTACTCACTTTAGTATTTACTACTAACCTTTGCAGCAGGACCACGGCGCCTACTTCCTTCGCTTTGCATCAGGTCGCACACAGACGGCCATCATCTGACCTCTTTTGGTCTTGTCCCTTCTTGTTTTATTCATCTTCTCTTCCCTCCCCCTCTGACCTCTCAATCGCATTCTCGCCGCCGGGTGCGCACCACACCCCTCGACCGCAGCCATGGACTCGGTCGCATTCGACATCAACGATGCGCTCAAGCATTACATGAGCGACCCTGCCAGTATACCAACTCCAGAGGCTGATGGCTCCCTCTTCGACTGCGAAAATGACCCCGAGGGCCTCACCAACGGCGTCGTCAACCCCGTTCTCAACCCCATTGTTGACGCCGTCGCCGAAAACCCCGAGGCCATTACCCGCAGCGCCCATCTCGATTCTCTCCAGTTCCTCCTAAAGTGCGCACCCATCTTCCCTTGTCCTTCAGACCCCTCTCCTTCGATTCCTTTATCCTCCTCCTCCAGGCTCTCCGCGAAACAGAGACGTGATTCTGAACGTTTGAACCCTTCCAGGTATACCGCCTTCTTGCCAACACATGCCCTGAGCAAGATCTTCGACCTCATCATGTCCGGCCTTGCCGCCGAGGCTGATGCCATAAATCACGACCTCGAGTCCCCCGACGAACAAGAGACCCTCGCACACCACAAGCAACTTCTCGAAATCTACGGCTTCCTCCTGCAGTGGACCATCGCCGCCGTCGAGACCAAGGCTGCCGAAAAGTCCACAACAGCACCCGTCGCCCGAGGCCGCGGCAAGCCGAAGAAGAATGCGCCCAAGGGCCAAGACGGCGTCTGGGACTCGGCCAGCCAGTTGCAATCCGCCCTCGACATTATGAGCAAGGTCCTCAAGCTGAAGCTCTCCAAGATCTTCCTCACCACTTCCGAGAGAGACACCTTTGTCGGTCTGCTGACTCGTCCGGTCTACATGGTGCTTGAGAGCGAACAGCGCGTCAAGGCCATCTCAATCAGGATGCACGCCTTCAAGGTGCTCTGTATCGCCGTCAAGCACCACGGCCATGCCTACGGTAGGTGTTGCGACTGACTGCACCTGCGCCTGGCTTTGTACTGACTTTATGCCCAGCTGCCCAGATTTCTATAGTTCAGAATCTGACGTACTTCGAGCATCTCTCCGAACCCATGGCCGAGTTCCTTCACATCTTGGCTGAAACCTACGACTACCCTCAACTGGCCGACGAAATCCTGCGCGAGCTCAGTAACAAGGAGTTCAATAGCAACGACACCAAAGGCCCAAAGTCCGTCTCGCAATTTATTGTCAAGCTCTCCGAGCTGGCCCCTAGAATCGTCATTAAGCAGATGACGATGCTTGCCAAGCAGTTGGACAGCGAGGTAATTAGTGCGGACCCCCCAATGGTGTTGAAATCACTCTGACCGCTACTCAGTCATACACTCTGCGTTGCTCCTTGATCGAAGTCTGTGGAAATATGGTTGCCCACCTTGTCAAGCAGGACGAGCGTGGCGAGAACCACAAGTCCCAGCTCGACGCCTTCTTCGACGTCCTGGAAGAGCGATTCCTCGACATCAACCCCTACTGCAGATGCAGAGCCATTCAAGTCTACGTCAAACTGTGCGATCTTGAGCAAAAGTTCCCCAAGAGACGACAGCGCGCCGCAGAGCTTGCTTGCCGAAGTCTGGAGGACAAGAGTAGTCACGTAAGAAGGAACGCCATCAAACTTCTCGGCACGCTCATCAAGACACACCCCTTCACTGCCTTGCACGGCGCCCTACTAGTCCGTAAGGACTGGCAGGCTCGCCTCGACAAGGTGGAGGAGGAATTGAACGCTTTGAAGCCTCCCGAGGGCGCCGGCCTTGGCGACAACACCGCTGTTGACAACACTCTTCTGGACGACGCCACTCAGGTCGAACAATCCCCGCAGAAGCCCATGACCGATGAACAAAAGTTCGAGGCAGTGAAGAAGGCGCGCGAAGAAGCTGCTACGTCTGAGGCAATTGAAAAGCTCACGCTGACGAAGCGATACTACTCCGAGGCTTTGAAGTTCATTGATGTTCTTCACGACGCCACTGGTACAGTTTGCCAATTGCTTGGCTCCAGGAACAAGAGCGAGGTCATTGAGGCTATGGACTACTTCGAGATTGGTGATGCCTACAAGATCGAGCAAAACAAGGTCGGCATCCGCCGAATGTTGCGTCTCATCTGGACCAAGGGCAATAGCGACGAGGGCAAGGGCGTCCAGAGCCATCTCATCGATGTGTACAAGCGCATCTTCTTTGAGGCACCCGGTAACTTCACCGCGAACGATGCTGCCAACTACATTGCTCGCAACATGATCAGTCTTACGAGTGAGACGACGCCTGCTGAATTGACTTCGCTCGAGCAGCTTCTGGCCACTATGATGAAGGGTGGTCTGATTCCTGAACTCGTCATTGCCAAGCTCTGGCAGGTGTACGGCGTCCGCAAGCGCGAGATTTCCAAGAAGCAACGCAGGGGTGCCATCATCGTGCTCGGTATGCTTGCGACTGCCAACCCAGAGATTGTGGTCGGGGAGATGGAGACGATGCTTCGTACCGGTCTCGGCGCACACGGTCGCGCCGATCTCCAACTAGCCAAGTACACCTGCATTGCTCTTCGCCGAATCAACCCCACAGGCAGGCAGGCGAAGGAATCCACCGTCAAGTTCTCTCGCCTTCCAAACGAGCACGCCGTTCTGGCCAGGTTGGCAGCCATCACTGAGGTTCCCTCGGACAGCAAGGAGTGGTATGGCGTGGCCGAGCAGGCCATCAACGCCATCTACGCTATTTCCAAGCACCCGGATATTCTCTGTTCCGAGATCATTCGGCACAAGACGAAACGCGTCTTTGCTGCTCCCTCATCCAGACCCGTGTCTAGGGACGAGAGGCCGTCTTCTCGGGATGAGATGGCGTCTCAATCCTCGCGTTCCGAGAGCAAGGAGCCTGACGTGGACGATGACGCCAGCGACGGAAATGAAACCGTCGTCCCTGCGCCCAAGAAGCGCGACAACGCCATCGCCTTGTCACAACTTTTGTTCATCGTCGGTCACGTTGCTATTAAGCAGATCGTGCATCTAGAGCTCTGCGAGCTCGATTTCAAGCGTCGCAAGCAGGATCAGGAGAAGGAAAAGACAGCAGAGAAGGCTACCCAGGCCGCTGGTAAGAAGGACGAGCCTGACGACCTCGATCTGATCGGTGGCACGACAGAGGACGACTTCACGGAAGCTATGGCACACATTCGTGAGCGGGAGCTGCTGTACGGTCCGGCATCTCTGCTCGCCCAGTTCGGCCCTCTCGTCTCTGAGATCTGTGCCAACAACACCACCTATGCCGACAAGGGACTGCAGGCCGCTGCGACTCTCTGTCTCGCTAAGCTCATGTGTGTCAGCTCCGAGTACTGCGAGGCCAATCTGCCTCTACTCATCACCATCATGGAGCGTTCCACCGATGCCACTGTGCGCTCCAACGCCGTCATTGCGCTCGGAGACATGGCGGTGTGCTTCAACCATCTTATTGATGAGAACACCGACTTCTTGTACCGTCGTCTGGCCGACAAGGACCAGTCAGTCAAGCGCACCTGCTTGATGACTCTGACCTTCCTCATCTTGGCTGGTCAGGTGAAGGTCAAGGGTCAGTTGGGTGAGATGGCCAAGTGCCTCGAGGACGAGGATCGTCGTATTGCCGACCTCGCGAGAATGTTCTTCACCGAGCTCAGCACCAAGGACAACGCTGTGTACAACCACTTCGTCGACATGTTTAGTTTGCTGTCGGCTGAGAAGGGCTTGGAGGAGGAGAGCTTCAGAAGGATTATCAGGTTTCTCCTGGGCTTCGTTGAGAAGGTATGTTTTATTATTCTAATGTCAATGACCCCTTCTGACCTTTCCTGTAGGACAAGCATGCCAAGCAATTGGCCGACAAGCTCGCTGCCAGACTTCAGCGTTGCGAGACTGAGAGACAATGGAACGACGTCGCCTTCGCCCTCGGCCTTCTGCAGCACAAGAATGAGGAGATCACCAAGACTGTCTCGGAGGGTTTCAAGGTGGTCCAACTCGCTGCGTAAGCTCAGATGGGACAGACAGGACAGGCTGGCCTTGTGGCCGTGTAGATATAGGGTCATGGGTCGGCGTTGGCGGTTCAAGTTGGTTCTGGCTGGTTGGCTTTTTGACTTGCGTCACGTTGGGATACCACACACAGTATTGTACCGATGATGAGACTTAATGACGTTGATGAACTTGTTTACACTGGATATGATTTCTAAACATTTGATTTGTATTGCGTTTTGTGATTACCGTTGCCTGCTGTCTTGACAGTTATCTGGGGTCGAAAATTATATTAGGCCAAGGCGACCCCTGAATGAGAAGATCAGGAGTCGGCAAGTCTGGACACCGTACAAATCGCATTCAAGAAGAATTTGTAGGAAAGCAGGGAAGACTACCATGAAAAGTGACCAAGCCACGGTGGAATCCGACAGAGAGCGCGTATTGCAGTGGCGATGCGATTTCCCGAGGTGTTCGGAGACTCGCGTTCTCCACTCAAGCTCCATCAACAGACTAACAACGGAGTTTGATCACGATCACCAAGACATGTAAACCATGCGACGAAGTCAGACAATGGAAATTTCGGGGCGTACAAATAGTGGTTGACGTCAACGGTTTTGATTTCCGTCGTCACTTTTGTTTACGCTCGCTTCTGCGTCAGTCACTCATTTTCTGTCCTTCTTAATCACCTGTTTCAATCCCGGACTCAGTACCATGTTTTTTTCAGCATCATCAAAAGTTGGTTTAGCATTAGCCGCGTTCAGTTTGCTAAGCAGCATCAGCGCTCGCTCGGTTTCGCCATACTCAAGGCTCCTTGCCAAGTCGACTCCTGGAACACCCCAACATGACGCAATCATCTACGCGTCCAACGGCACTACAACCCTCTTTTCCAACGGGACAGCTGCTTCTGTCGTGGTTCTCGACTTTGGTCGCAATGTTGAGGGCATACCTACCTTCGAGGTGTTGTCCGCCTCTGGCGATACATCCGTCTTTGAGATATCGTATGGAGAAACCGAGGCAGCATTCGGCGCGTACATGGTCCGTTGTTCGACCCCCCTTTTCTGATGATGACTTTGAGAGGTTCTCACGGCTGACAAGACCCAGAGCGATGGACCGCTTCCCCTGGCGGCAGCGATGGACACCTACAGAGTCAATCGATACAACGTCACCGGTCCCTCAATCATCTCCAACCGTCTTATACAAGGAACCTTCCGTTACCAAAAGCTCAACCTCTCGACCTCGGGAGCCCTTACATTGCGGAACATCGGTGTCAAGCCAACGACTTCTACCACGGCGCTGACCCAACTTCCCGGTTCCTTCGAATGCTCGGATGAAGACCTCACGAGAATATGGAGCGTGGGAGCAAGGACGGTGCAACTGACCGAGATCCCCAAGAACTCCATCCCGGACTTTCTGAATGTCACGGAGGAAGGGGCGTATGCCGAAAGTGCGGCACCCCAGGCTTTGGGAAGTGCTGTTGCTGCCCAGCTTCTCAACTATCGCCTTGACTTTCGGGTTAAGCCTGTCAAGGGTGGTTTTGGATTTTCCGTTCTGTCAGACACTTTGAACAGCGCTATTTACATCTCTTTCGATCTCGACAAGGGCTCCATCACGACTCATACTGGTTCGACCGCTTTAGACACCCAGATCGCTGCGGTTGATATCCCGGCAAATCTCACCATGACCCTTGGGTCATGGCACTCTGTCCATACCACAGTCGACATCACCGACGTCAGCGTCTCTGTCAACAACATCGACGTCCTCAAGCTCTCCCAGTCCGCCCGCTTCTTCGGCTCTTTCGGTTTCGGCGCCTCCCTAGGACACGCTGCATACTTCCAGAACTTTGCCGCAACCACGCCAACAGGTGAAGTCATTTACACTCATCCCCTGACCGACCGCTCCTTCCTTGCCGACTTCTTCATGGGAGCCAACCCCGCCGACACCATCGTCGACGGCTCTCGTCGGGATCGCATCGCCTACTCCGGCGACCTCGACATCGCTGTCGGCGCCGCTTTCGCCAGCACCTTTGGCACCTCCTTCATTGACGGATCTCTCGACCTCATCGGCTCGTACCAAGTCACCCCTGGCTTCTTCACCCCCACAGCCAAGATCCAGCAGGCGCCCCTGTCGACTCCTCTGGATGTGAACGTCACCGGCCTGATTGGGTATTCGTTCAACTTCCTGACTGCCATCGCGCAGAACTACGAGATGAGGGGCAACCTGACGTTCGCCCAGACCTGGGCGCCCAAGGTTGTCAAGATGCTCGACTGGGCGGACTCGCAGGCTCTGCCGAACGGCCTGTTCAATCTGGCAGAGGAGTCTTTCGGCGGTGATTGGAACTACTACGATCCCCCTCAGTCTGGCGTCGTGACGAAGTTCAACGTTGTCTATGCGTACTCTCTGCAGCAGTGTTTGAGGCTTCTTGAAGATGCCGGTGTTGACGTTGCCGTGTACCAAACCCGACTTGGCCGTCTGAGAGCTGCGATTAACGAGAACCTCTGGAACGAAGAGTTGGGAGTCTACATCATGTCCGAGAAATTCACAACCGGGTTTTCGCAAGATGCCAACGCTCTTGCTATCCTCGCCGGCGTCCCCGGGGCACTCACCAACGGGTCATCGGCCCCAGTCCGGTCCGCGTCCTCCATTCTCTCCGCTATGGCCTCCGGACTCGCGGCCCCGGCCGGGGCCCTCGCCTTTTCCAATGCCACCGTCGCTGCCGGCTGGGCTGAGAAGGTGAGCCCATACGCTGCGGCCTACCACCTCCGTGCCGCGCTCGAGTCAGGCGACGCCTCATCCGCCATGATGCTGCTCAAGAAGACCTGGGCACCTATGGCAGACCCAACCAACGCAAACTACACTGGCTGCTTCTGGGAGACGCTCAACGCGGACGGCACGCCGGGGCTGGGCTTGGTGACGTCGCTTTGCCATGGATGGGCGGCGGGTCCTACAGCGGAGCTGAGCAAGCATGTTCTTGGTATTCAGCCAACGGTACCTGGATTTGCCGGATGGAAGGTCGAGCCACAGACAATGGGCCTCCAGTGGGCCAAGGGTCGCGCCCCGACCGTGTTAGGGGACTTCGCTGTCAACTGGCGGTTTGAGGGCGGGCTGCTGCGGATGAAGGTCGAAAGCCCCTCCGGAGGGAACAGGGGTACGGTGTATCTGCCCCAGCCGCTCCCAACCCCGATTGAGAAGAGCGTTATCCGCATCAACGGCGTTGTCGCCAACGGATCTGCTTTTGAGGTTGCGGGAGGGGACGCATTCGTATTGACACAGGACTTTTCGCGTTGAAGAGATGGGACTTACACCTCAAAGTTTGACGCATTCAGTGGACCAACCTTTGCCCTTTCTTTTGGTTCTACTGCGGTACGCCCCCCAGCATGGAATAGATGCATATGTGCTCGCACGCAGATCGAGTATCGATTAGATGTATATACTGTGGGAGCAGACAACATGCAAGAGGCTGAGTGCCATTCTTCTAGCGTTTTAGTCAGGGGGTTTCTTCGTCATAGTCAGGGGGTTTCTTCGTCATTCTTCATCGCGCTCGTCGTTATAAGTGCCGTTGTTACCAGGATTATCTTTCCCATGCTTCTTGCGATTCGATTGTCATCCTCGCTTGCTGTGCAGAATGCGACTTCGTCTGATATCACAATAAAGTAGCGAATGCCCACCACGCAAGATGCATACTACACTGTCCCGGCATGTAGGTTGGACATGGGTTCAAAATGCCAAAGCCAGAGTGGCCGCGTTCAGTGCATCTCCGTCGCTTGCGATTGGAAGTGGCAATCTCAAGGTATCACCGCGCAGAGAGTTGCCGTCATGAGCTAATGGCAGACCCCTCCATTGTGCAGCACGCCTGCAGGTTCAATCTGGTCTCTAAGTGGATCAACACCTTTCCCCGTCGGGCCCCCCCCCCTGGACGGCATCCCCGCCGTTTTAGACGTCCATCCAGACCTCGGAATCGACGCCGGGACACATTGACCAATCAAAGACACCGGAGACCGTCTGGCTGGCTATTGTTCAATCTCTGCTTTGAGAGGTGCCCCGCTTTTTCGTATGACATCTGGGAATGGCATGTTCTTCGCACATCCACACACCCACGCGGGACTCTTCCGTCACCGTAGCGTTCCCAATGGCCCAACGAGAATCACGAAGTCGGAGCCCCCCCCCTCCCCACAAGAAGATTGCCCATCTCGGGGGCCAAATATGAGCGCCTTCTGACTGGACAGACGAGCTCGGAGTTCATGGCGGCTCTCCGTTCTCAGGACAATGGGTGCCTACTGACATCAAAATCGCCAGACCTGGACTTGCCTCCGGACGAGTAAGGGCCCTCACACCGATACCTGCCCGTGTCCTTCGCATCCTCGTCTTCCCATAGAAATGGCCAATCAATCCTGTGCGCTAATCGCATTGGCAAACAAACGAGCCTCTACCCCGGCCTCGGGGCGAAAGAGATATGCCGTTGAACCAGTCTAGACATGAGCCCCGAAATGCCGTCTCAGAAGGGCGCGCTTCTCTCTTCTTGCATCACTGGTACCAAACATTCCTTCTCGCGCGAGGACACGTTCGCGCAAGTATCATGTACCAGGTATCATGTACAGAAGAGGGGGCTGGATCCTCCTGGCTGGGGATTTCGGTTCAAGGACAGACGTCACCTGTGGTTCAGTCTTACAAACCCGCGTTGCATGGTCCCGCTGTTCTAGTCACAGTCTTAAAACATCAGTTGGGACTTGTTTGCGTCGATCGTCTCCTGCGAAGGAGAATCCCACGCAAACAGTCAAAGCATATAAGGTTGGTGGTTTCCTCAGCCTCATCTTTTCAATGCTAGGAACTTCAAGAATTGGTCCCTGAGAGGCAAAAAGGTCGCCTGGTAGTGTTAGCTCCAGAACATTGCCTCGGAACCTGGCACGCATCCGCCAACCCTTTCAAAGCCCCCAAGGACCACCGCCCAGCAACAGTAGCACGCAATACCAACGAGATCCCCCGGGCTGAGAGCCGCGACCACAGCTATTTTTGAATTCGATCGTTGCAAGACACACATAGATCACATTCGACGTAAGTTGTTTGTCTGAGCGGCGCACACACGAAACGTCACTAATCTTCCAAGCATAGGTTATGGCGAGAAGGCTGGAAGCAAAGCCCGGGTTTGAAATGAACACAAACCTCAAGCCATCAAGAGAATGTATTCGTGAAGCTTGCGAGAATTGTCGCGAGAAGAAGGCGAAGGTACATGGTCTCACACTTGTGCAGTCTACTCGGCCCAGGAATTAACAGGTTGCTTCCTAGTGCAATGGAGAAACCCCATGCCATCGATGCATTTACAGGCGCCTGGAGTGCAGATACGAACCTCGGCGGATCCGCTCCAAGCGCAGTCTGCAGGCTGAGCTCGATGTCCTCAAGGCTGCGCAACACCAGAAAGATGCCGTAATTGCGGCGCTGTCAGTCCCAGGCCAGAGCATGGAGGTGCTCCAGCGACTATGGACGGGCGAGCCGCTCGAGAGTATCTACGAGACTCTTGGGTGTCGTGAGGTGTTGCCCTCATCCGAAGCTTCAAGCTTCCACTCAGATGCAGCCCAAGGCCTCAGTGCCCCGGGCCAGCCATCGACGACCGCATTCAGTGCCTCATCTTCGTCTACGCCTACCCAGGCGTGGTCTAGCTCCCCGCTCGCTATGGAGCAGACAGAAAACTCCATGGGAAAAGACACGGGAACCGATCACCATGGAGAAGAGGTGGGCTGCGATGAACACGTCGCATCGGAGTACTCCAACGAACAGGTCGGTGGCTCGATGCTCGACAACAGCAGTTTCATGAACTTAACTTGCTATGGAGCCTTCAATCACTCTGGAGTCGGAGTTCCCAACTACGACCCAAACATCCCTTTCGGCGACTCCACACATGTTCAGCAGTGTGATGCCAACCTACATCACTTTGAGAACGGCTTATCTCCCAACGATCCGGAATACCTGAGAAAATCCTCGAGCAGCACTCAGAACAGCCAAGCGAGCTTCTCAAACGGTTCATCCATTGAGTCCATGCTTTGGCCAGGCTCTGAAGACATGTTTCCCCCCTCGAGCGATCCTGCACATACGCGCCTCGGCCCGTCGCCAATTGCATCACCGATAACGATCAGTTCGACCGAGTCTCGCCCTGCCTCCCGCGAAGCGGTTTGCAAAAGCCCGGCGAAGAACCCGTTTCGGTCACCAAGAAAGCAGACAACCAGCAGCGAGGTTCCTTTCCGACCTCGCGCGGGAAAGCGGAGTTTCAACGAGGAAGCCCCCTTCTCAAGATCACCAAGCTTCACGGAGGATGATACGCAGACGTCGAGAGAGCAGAGCGTGTACCCTTCAGACTCATCGCAGTCTCGCAAACAGCACCGCACCGCCTCGGCGCGCAGTTACAAGAAGCAAAAGGACCAGATTGAATTCATGAAGGCGGTCAAGTTGGATGTCGAAAACCGCAACGAGGAGCTGAAGAGGGAGCACGCGGAGCTGTGGCACCAAGTGCTAGCGGTCAAGAACGCGCTCATGGGCCACGCTGATTGCAAACACCCAACAATCAACGCCTGGCTACAGGCAGAAGCTGCTGACTTTGTTCGTGACGGCGTCAATAGCCATGATCGCAAGGCGGGAACATGGCCAGTCGGCCGGTAGAATAAGTGGTCCGGGTCGAGGTGGTCAGCAGTAAGGCGAGAGAGCTGCATGCGAGTGACAGCGAAATGTCTGTCAAATTCAATCCTAGGAAGGTCCTACATTGAGTGGGGAAGAAGCTAGGAGGCGTTCGGAATGGGATGTGGGTGGTGGACCACAGGCTTTGGTGATTCTAGCGTGGAGTCGAGGTCACATAACGGGTACAGCAAACGAAATGCTGTTTGAGGCAGTTGCCCAGCTCGGCGTTTGGTAGCTTTCTGGCTCTCTGATACTGTCGCTTGTGCGGATAGGGTTACTGTCATGACAATCAAAAATTCCTTGATTTCAAGCCCATGCAGCGGGTCTCGTGCGTCAACTCCCCCAGATAGATACTCGGTATCTCGGCGACATACCGGGATTCAACGTTCCAAATCTGTACAATGACTAGATTCAGATCAACGTGAATACCTTAAACAGAAACTGCAGTGCTTGCCAGGAGACGTCCCGGCAGGCAAGTCAATCGTGTCAGGGTGGATGGACCCTTGAGCCCTGACGCGATGAACCCTTGAAAACGGTCAGACCCCACTGCCACCACGTTTTCCGGCGAGATCCAAGGTTGGGATGCTCGAGACTTGGCTGCTGGGCCTTGTTGGCTTGATCCTGGCTCTGAAGGCAACGCCCTGGTAGCAGGAGCGTCCCATCAGGCCTGGGAACAAGTTCAACCTCGCCCGTATCTCTCACAACCAGGGTCTGATGAGCAGACCATAAAACCCACCGCGCAGATGGAGTTCCTTCTGCCATGACCAACTGGAATACGGTCGAGTGGGGTTGGAATTTCAACGCCGACGGTAGGGCGGAAGAGACGAAGCCCCTAATTCGGAATGTTTGGATCAGCACGGCGGGCCCTGGAATGGGGGACTGACAGGGCTACTCGATGTCCAAAAAAGATACATACCCGTGGGAATCGAAGGTACTGAGGGCATGTCTTGTTCAGTTTTCACGGCGCCCAGTGAGGACAACTGGACGAGTTCGATGATTGGTTGTCGGGGTGCACTCCGTGACCCTACCCAGACTCGTCGGAGTCGACCCCGCCCCGAAACCATCTTCCCGTCCATCCTTCCCGTCCATCCTGCCACGTAATCTCGGTCTTGTACAGCCTGACATCTTGGAAACGGTTGCAAGATACATCTATCAAATGTGTATCTTCTGACAGGCCATCACCCAACGCAGTCGAGACACGGTCAGCTGTCTTGGTACCCAACCCTGCTTGAACTCGTTGGGCTATCGAGGTCATAATATTACGGACTGTTCCGCGTCCCACTGCTAAGAAGTCTTTTCTACGTATAATCCAGCGTTGCGAGGGTCGGGGAACGGGAGAAACAACATTAAGAGGCCATCACTCGGCAGACAGATTGAATGGGGCAAAACCAGTCTCGGTTCATCAAGAAAGGGTAAACGCACAGCACCTTGATGTCTTGTGGGAACAGATACAATCCTCTCGACTTTTCTGCTGTGCCATTTCTCTGCCGTAAGGCGATACCCCCAGAAACCATCCCCACTGACGCCATGGCGAGCAACAAAGAAATGCGTCGATAGATTCAATTGAACAACATGTAAGTCGAGCTCTCCATAGGAAATCAGCTTTTTAGCTAGGTATGGGCGCC